AAGGAGCAATTATTGATAAGCTCATTTGTGGATCCACCAAATCAAACAGATGCTTCAAATGACAAACAAAAAAGACTTTTAGAGAGTTTGGCGAATCAACTTCAATTAATATCTTTTTCCTTGGCAAGTGTTATCCAAGATAGAGCAAGATGGATTGATAATGTTCTTGAAATACTAACAAATCTTATTACTGGTGAAATTGACAATCTCGATGAAGACCAACTCAATGACATTGTGAGAGGATTATGTAATAGATGGCACTTTGCCAGAGATAAGAAACTCATTGATGAGAATGGTTCTGATGCTAGAGGAATAGGGCATTGAAATAAATCCATTGAGAGCTTTGTAAACATTTATACTTTATTCCTCACAAGGTGATTAAAGATGAAACGATGGGCAGAGGTAATTTCACCTTGTCAGTTTTACAAAGAAAATGAAAAATATAGGAACACGTCTGCAAAGAGATGAAAGCAGGCCAGTTTTGAATTTGTGGCACAACTTTCAAAAGACTATCCTTGAAAAATCGTTTATATTGAGTGGATTCAATTTTATTCAACATGAAAAGTCCAAACTGGAAAGTGAAACTCCATCATTGATTGAGCAGGATTTGAGGGAGCTGCATTCTTTCTCTTCTTATACTTTCGTCTTCTTGTTAAATGTTCCTGATTGGAAATATAACAACTGCTCGTTGTGGAATTACTGGATGATATGGAGCATGAAGAGGATTTTCTCTTCTTGCCTATTTTTTTGTATTTAGCTCTTTCACCTACAGGGTTGGTATCGGCCAATGGTTGTCCATTATTCGAATCTAAATTGTATGATGCAGTCAAGTTTGTACTGAATGTTTGATCACATAACATATTGTTCATAGAACCTTCCAAAGACCTTTCATCTTTGATTTCAACAATTTGAATAGTTGGTGGTTTGGCATTCGAATATTGAGTTTCTTCTCTTGCAACTTTCAATAACAACTCCCAACTTTGCATGATATCATCAACATCTAACTTTAAACAACATTCTTCTCCTGAGCTCAGTATAACGTTATCATTGATTTTGGGTGAGAATCTATGGGAATAATCATTCATCCGACATGTGGCAGAAACACTTGACATCTTTGTTGTTAATTTTCTTTTTAATTGTATTATGCAACACGTTTTCAAGGTAAGAGAATCAAACCAAAAAGAAAGAGAATCCACCACTACAATTTTGTCCAGTACACTTCCTTTCGTATTTTAAATGTTCCAATAGTTTAGAACGACATCATAACATTATCTGAAACGGCAGTACTAATTGTACATAGTTGTTCATACACCACCAAAAAGTCAATCAGGATTCTCTCGATGTTTAGTGCGAAATGGGTAAATAAAACTCCATGAAAATCAATAAGTTCTAAACTGTTTATAAAATACTGTTTTGAGATGTCAAAGCTGATGTTGCTATGGAGAAAACTGTTCTTTGACGTTGTTTGATTGGGTTGGCAAAGAAGCATCGAGTGATTTTGCATGAAAGCGACAAGAGCTGAGTGGAGTCCATTGTTTACATTTGACAAGATTTGGATTTGAGAAATGATATTCTACTTGTGTTGAGATATTCATAATTTTGTAATCATGTTAAAAGAGTAGTGATTTTAGTGATTTGTTGATGCCTATATGATGGCAATTAAACAAATATTCGAAAGTCCTTGATGATTAGTGGAGGACTAGAGTAATTGGCGCAGATTTCATTTCGTTTTGATTAGTCCAATTCAGAGAACGTACATGGAGCCTTATTCTTTTTTAATACATCGTATTGATGAACCCCAACTAGTATTTATATGAAATACATCAATTTGACTGACTCAATGTTTCTAATGAAACTTACCAACTTGTTAAATTATGACAAATGTTTTTGATTTTCATACTACACAATAATTTTTTTCAGTGCTCTTTGAAATTCATTAACCAAATTGAGAATACATACAACAGTACCTTGAATCCTCACTTAATACTCAATAACAATGTTATCCTTTTGGGACAAATAAACCTAGGTCTTTCTTTTCAAGAAATAATAAGGGTTGACTATCATTGCCTCTAACGCTATCCGTAATCATCGGAATAATTATAGTTCTTGCAATAGACTTTAATGTTGTAAAAGAAAGAAGGAAAACCAAATCAAAAGCAATAATTTGTGCTTATTGTTACATCCAAAAGTTTAGTAAAAACACAAATGTTTTTGTTTCTGCAAAAAAGCCTTTAAAAAACCATGTCGAGCCCGCTCTCGATTTCAAAAATAAAAATAAATTTTAAAAAAAATGAGCGAAGATACCAAAGACATTAAAGCTGAAGGAAAGGGTGAACAACACATTAACATCAAGGTTGTGAGTCAAGTAAGTAGTAATAGCAAGGTGCAATCATCAGGAGGCTAACTATTTTTTTTATTATTTTTTTAATATATTTTCCCTTTATTTTTTTAATATATTTAAAATAGGATGGTGTTGAAGTTTTCTTCAAGATTAAGAGATCAACCCCTTTGAAGAAGTTGATGGATGCCTATTGCAAGAGACAAGGTCTTTCTCCAGCTTCCGTTAGATTTGTTTTTGACGGAAACAGAGTCACTGGTACCGAAACTGCTGATCAACTTGAAATGGATGACCAAGACGTTATTGATGTTTTGGTTGAACAAACTGGTGGTTCATTCTAAATTATTAAAAACTAAGAATTTAAAATTGTAATACAATTTACTATCTTTTCATTATCTATTATTTTAATGCTAGTCCGAAGCCTTTTTTGATGAAGAGTGAAACTTTGGAATTCCAACAAGCAAATTTGTTTGTGATTTCCTCACCAATTATGATACAAATAATTTCTATGAATTAATTCTCTTCTTTTAACACCAATCATTGGGGAAAGATATCTTTTAATATCTGAAATACCTTATGCTAGGTCCAAATAATGAACATTCTTAAATCAGAAATAGTTGATAAAAGGAAATTTGCAAGTTCCAAGTTTTTTGAGCTTAAGGCCATCCAACCTGACTCTACATTTTCATGAATCCACATTTCGCTGTTTATCATAATTTAACTAATTAGGTTTACTAATGGATACTATAATTATCCAAATAGCTGTACCTACAAGCGAAAGGAACGACAACAAAGATCTGATTTTTCTCATCATATGCAATCGTTCCATTCCTTGATTCGTATACTTTTGGAAAGGTCAATCCAAAAAGCTCAATATCAAGTTCTGAAATCTCCTGTTCGAACCAAGTCTGAAAAGGAGTCTCCAAACAAAGAAACCTACCCACCTCTCCTATACTATCATCCTCATGTTTTTCGAAAGTTGTACATCGCTCATACATCAAAGATTGAGATTTAAATTCGGCTTTGAAGGATTTAAACTTGTCCAAGTAATGCAAGAGAAATTCGCCATCGTAGAGAGAAGTTGAGTAGACATTATTTCGAACGGTGACCCTTTTTGGCTCCTTATCACTTGTTTTCCATTTTGCTTTCGAATAGTCTATTAAATAGTGA